ATTAATTGTAACGCACCTCTATGGTTTGATGTCTTAATTAGTTTAGGAGTGGTTTATGCATTTTTCAATTGGCCACTAATGGATTTTTATTGATTATTATTATTATTATTATTATTTTTTAAAAATTTTAGAAAGAGTAACCAAACTTTGTATAAGAATAAATGAAAGAATATAAAGGGAATAAAAAAGATCAACCTCCAAAATGTGTATAACAAGAGATTTCAAAGACAAAATGAGACCTCAAAGATATTTACTAAAAGCTTTACACACTAATGCTCAATGAATGTTCTGAGAATGTGATTCTAACAACGTATAGTTCAAGGTTACGTTTTGTTTGTGTCATGCTTGTGTATGTGAGATGTTGTGTTTATGAACTGAGGTTTACAACTTGAGATTAATAGCGTTCCTTACTTATGATTTTGATTATTAGTTAAGGATCTCTTATGCCGCTGACATTATGTGATTTTCCTCCATTGGATTACCGTGATGTGTTGTTTCAATTGTATTCTTGTCACTTCTTTGTTAGGAAGAAAGAAACAAAAGCCGCAAGATTGATCGACATGATGATCAACGGTAAATGTTGTTCTTATTCCTAAATTATTATTATTATTTTTTACAGTAATATGTTTTTCAATATCTGAATGCTTTCTTTCAGATCGAAGGAGCGAAGTAGAGAACCTGATAGAGAACCGAGTAGGGATCGTGACCGTGACCGTGCTGATAGTCGTGACCGCGGAAGAGATAATGATCGTAGGAGCAGGGATCGTGATAGATATAACGATCGGGATCGTTATGACCGAGACCGCAACAGGGACCCAGATCGCTCTTATGATTCTAGAAGTCGTCGCCATTCACGCTCACGATCAACAGACCGTGAACGTTCAAGGGACTATGATCGTCACAAGTACTGTTAAATTTCAAATACCACGTTTCTTATTATCAAAAAATCAAATACCATATGGATGTAATGAGTGATTCTTCTTTTTAGTTATGACGGTTTGTTCTTTTTCACTCTTTGTGCAGGCGACGTGACCGGTACTAGTACTAAACAGATCTTACGGTGGGTCCAATGGAAGTGAAGGTACAGGTTTATGTCCTGTGTTTCTTCCTATATTTTGAGTGCAGTTGGCTGTATCTTCTCTAATGATTTTATAATGACCACCACAAGGTTATGTTGACTGTACTTTTGAGAGGTATGGTTGTACTGATTACTGGAATTTTATATGTAGCTGTTAGTGGAGTAGTTTCCTTGCAATCATTTTTTGACATATAGACTAAGGTTGTGGGATACATCAATTTTTCATATGATCATTTTGGAGACTTCATAACAGGATGCAAGAAACTGGTAAGATTTGACATATTATTGTTGACCAACCACCGTTTTATGTATCAAGAACCATAGTTTTTAGGCAGGCCGGATGAACGATCTTTTTCTTTTATGCTCTCCCTTTTCCAATCATGTTTTATCTGCAATTTGTAATATTATAATCTTTTTCTCATTTACTTGAAATTTGAAAAGAAAAGAAAATTTAGACAAAGAATTAAAAACAAATATTGGATAGAAAATGGGTAACTAGACATAAATAAACAAAAAAAATCATTAGCCGGGGCAGTGCAGTTGTGTTAAGTTTTAGTTGAAGTGATGTGCAGTATGCATGGAATTGAAAGATACAGATTGAGTTGCTATAAACGAAACAGGTACTGTCAACATTGGTTGCTGGAAAGTTTAGCCTCTCACAATCTTACTGTAAGTATTCATTTCTAAGTTTTAATTTGGAAAAATAGATGGTCAAAAGATCAAATGATCAAATTTAAGCTTGTGCTTCAGTTGAAAACTAGTAGATTGTTGTTGAGAACCACTTGTGTGGAGTTGTTGAATATTATGTGTTGTATGAAGAATGAATTCTATTTTTATATGGGATCTAATTGTGTTGGTTTGTGCTTGTGAATAAGAAATGTTATTTGTCGTTTCGAGTTAGCTGGTTCGAATCAAATGGAGCAAAATGGTCATTTTGTGTGATTCTATATATCTATATCTATATCTATATATATATATAGGTAAAAGACGATGGCATTTGGTGCTATTTTTCAAGAATCAAATTCCTGAGTTGTAAATATTTTGTTCCATAGAATAAGTTTCTCCCTCTTGTTTTCAAGAATCTCAAGGGTCTCATTGTTAAGGGATGAAAAGAGAAAAAGTGGATGAAAAAGTCTGGAATCTTGTTTCAAAAAGGACGAGGAAGAACAAACCAGAAAGCCTAATACGGTATGCTCTTTCTATCCCATTTACTTGATGAGTATGAGGATAAGCGTCGTATGTTGTAGGATACATATTGAGTTTTAAACTGATTTCCAAAGAATCAATGCTGTAGATCACATATCTTAGGTTATCCATCATTGCCATTCTTCAATATTGCTTGCATTTGAGATTCTTTCTTACAATCTTCTGGTGGTTCTTACAATCTTGGAGTTTGAAAGCGCATAGACTATCGAATTCAAACTTGAAGGATCAAAAGTATATCTTTCATTTCAATTCCTCGCCCAATCCTTAATTTGTCCTTCTAACATACACTTCATCAATCACATTAGACCGTGTCACTATTCCACTTTAAATGCATTTGGATGTTATCCCAACTACCAACTTTGTGTTCATACTTGAATCCAACACAATGTCTATGTTGTCCTTGCAGCCTTCTTTCCTGTCACCTGCAAAATGCCATGCTTTTCTCTCTCTCTCTCTCTCTTTCTTTCGTTTTGGTCGGTTGCTTCTCTCTCCTCCATTATTTTTTCTGCCTCTACTTACAATCTCCCATTTAAAACAAAATCAACAAGGAATATAAAGAGGTGTCAAAAAAAAAAGTTAAGAGAGACTGTAATCGTTATTATTGAATGTGAGTTTAAAACTGAATCATAGATCGAATCATCAACCTTTGAAGTTACTTTTAGTAGACTTTGAATATTACATATTTTTCTCGTGTGAGTACTTCGTTCGTTTTTTTGTTTTTTGAAGTTCTAAGGTTTTCATTAATGCTTTTACCTTTTAATTTCATGTTTAAGATTTCTTAACTTTCATTGACTTATAAAACACGGATTCGTAGAAATTAAATGTTGAATAATTTGGTGACATGATTGACATGAAATTGAAAGGTTTTTGACGTGTTCGAAACTTTTAAACTTAAAAGTACTATGAAATAATTTTGCCTGTATAATATTAAAAATTCTTGATTAGATCTTTACATCATAAAATTATTGTTTATAAACGACGTATAGAGTTGCAGCTGAAGATTAAGTCGAATTTCATGTTTCATACCTTTAGTAGCAGCATCGTGACATGTTTATGTTTATTTTTTAGGGAGGACCTAATTTAAAAAATTTAATACATTGAGAGGAAATTTGAGAATCTTATAAGATTAAATTGATAATTATTAAACAATTCTTTAGAGTACAAAAATAATTAGGGGTCAAAAGTTAAATGATTCAAAGTGTAGTCCCAAGTTTCAATGACTGGAAATTGGTCTATGAAAAATGTAACAGTGTAGCCATGGATGATGATAAGGACCGATCTGCAAAAAGATATGTTATTTGTTCTTCACGTGTTAGGTGCACATGTTTTATACTAAACTTTTTACAATAATTTTATCTAATATTATAATATATTAAAATTGGTCCTCTGGCACGATTAACTTATTAAATTATATTCTAATTCCTTTCAATATGAATGGATTTAGCGGTTGAAAATTGTATATCCAAACTCTGCTTGGCTTAATTTTATACATACAAACAATAGCGATTGGAGAAGGGAACAAAACATTTCTTATAAGAGTATAGATGCCTCTCCAAACTGTGAGACTGACGACGATACATATCGGGTCAAAACGAACAATATTTGCTAGTCGTAGACTTCTTCGACAATGTTAATAGATTTAAAGATAACTAAAAAATGAGGTCATAAACGAGCATATTAGTAGGGGCATGGCCAGATTTGGAAAGCTAGAAAGCTAAGTCCACATATATACCTAAGGGAGCAGCCATGGTGGGGTCTAAGTGTTTTGGGGATATTTTATTTTCATGGTCTTAGACTATCATCATTTTCATCTCTAATAATTTTATTGATATTTATAAATATAAATACAAAACGTTCCTTCCCGTGGTTTCATTTTTTTTTTCGTTTTTGTAATAAAATTAATTTTTTTAATTCAAATAGAAGACTTTTATGTACTATTTTAATTACTTTTTTCTTCTTCAATTAATTAACTGTAACATTTGATTAATTCTTTAATTTCCATATTTATTTTATTTTACTTTTTTCTAAATTTGCAAAAACTTCTCTTTTTTAACCCTAAAATTTATATTTTCATTAATTATTTCATTGAAATTTAAACCCATTTGGAAAATTACTTACCATTTTAGACATATATCTACTTAAGTATTTACTAATTGTACATAAATATATTTTTAAAAATCAACCCAGAACAGTTTTTATTTTATTTATTTATTTATTAATTCAACAAATAAAGGTCTTCAATTTATTTTTTTTTAATTTCAGAAGTTTATATATATCTATGAATTGAGATAATAATGTTAACTCAGATTTTACCCTAGCTTGCTTGAGGCTGCATTCCCAAACAACTCGACTCATAGACAGCGTCTCGTGGTGCGATAAGATCCAAGTACGACGGGGCTCTCACCCTCTTTGGTGCCCCTTCTAGGGAACTTGTGTCCGGTCCGTCGTTGAGGACGCTTCTCCAAACTACAAATTTGAACGCTAAGGGCGCTCGATTCTCAAGTTGGGCTCTTCTCAATTCGCTCGCCGTGACTCATCAAATCAAAGATGGAAATTAAAAAGAAAAAAAACCCGACCTTTATAATAAAAAATGGAAGCATGAGAAACGATACAAACGTAAGATATTAAAATATAATTAAAAGGAAAAAGTAATGCAAATTTTTGGAGATTTGAGAGAGTGATGGACAAAGTTCTCTATTTTATAGACAAAGTCATCACTTTCTTGGTTCCTATTTTTTCTCTTCGTTCAATCCTTTTGATCCTCTCTCTCTCCTCTCTCTCTCTCTCTCTGATCTTCCCTTCTCTTATTTACCCACATGTTTCGATTCCCTGTTCTCTAATCCATTCCGATTCCTTATCGTCTCTGTTTTTTCCCCTCCCCACAAAACTCGATTTGATTCCAAAACTCATCTCCTTTCCGATTGATTTCTTCGATTTCGGGGCTCAAATCGCCGGTATCTGAGGCTATCATCATAATCATCGTACTCCATTTGCATGCCAAGGTAGATCTGCACTTTTATCGCTATCTTCTTTTCGATTGTTCTTTTACGATTAAAGCGGAAACGAACATAAAAAAGGTGGAGAAGAGATAGATTCTCGTATTTGTTCTTCAATCCAATTCCAAATTCCCAATTCCGTAAAGGGTGATTGAAGGATCTGGTGATGTGGGATTGAAAGGATTTGTGTTGAGAATTGGAGGGAGTGTCCCTTAAGGGGAGGGACGGAAGAGGGTTCCTGACGGATCGGTACAGAGAAAGTGGTGGGGGTCGGGGGTTCGACAGGGCAGGTGGCCTGGAGTGCATTCTAAGCATTGTTAGGGCACTTCGAATGGGGTCCTGCTTGTCTGCGGAAAGCAGGAGCCCCATTCCTGGTTCCCCGACCTCTCCGGCTAAGCACTATCATCGAAGCAGGAGCAAGAGACGAAATGGTTCTCGGAGTTCTTCCTTTGGGGATCTGTCTCTCCATCGGATCCCTGGTAGGGTGTTCGGCAATGGCTTCACTGATTTCGCCTCTCTGTTTACGCAGCAGGGCAAGAAAGGAACCAATCAGGATGCCATGATTGTTTGGGAGGTTTGTTCTCCTTTCAACCACTATTTTGCTCTTGTTAATACCTTTAATCTTAGATCCAAGCCAAAAGATGCTGCGAAATTAATATATGCCCACGAGTTTGTTGAAGGGTTCATTTAATTTCTTGCTTGCTTTGGTTCCTGTTTTGTTAATTAATTATCTGATCCAACAGAGATTACATCACTTGGGCTGTTGTGTTGCTTCTTCTTTACTTAACTTTTGTTTTACCCTCAATTATGTGGTTGAAGATCACACGAGTTTAAGTTTTCATCATGAGTTTGAATCTGAGATCTTAAAAGAGTATCTTCAAACATCCCTTGCTCGTTACCACCTGGGCGGTGGGCACCCTTTGGGATCTGTCTGTTATGCTTTTGTGTGTTCTTCTTTTTGTTCATGGCTTCTTTGAGTGGGGTCAACCACTAGGTTCTTTTTTTCTATTTTTTTCTTCATTTGTGATATACTATTAGAATGTGCATCGGCATGATACCCTTCTTTCTATCTGAAACTCCATATATCACATGTTTGGACTAATTCTGATTTCAATTGCGGTTTCAGAATTTTGGCTCTAGAACTGATACGATCTTCTGTGGGGTTTTCGATGGCCATGGCCCGTACGGTCATATGGTTGCGAAGAAAGTGAGGGATTCTCTTCCTCTGAGGTTAAGTACACATTGGGAGGTCAACTTGACCACAGATGATGTTCTTAGAGAGATAAGCCTCAATACTGGAAGTGTGAACTCAGATGAAGCTACCTCCTTTTTATCTGCTGATGAAGAGTTTAGGGCATCCACTGATGGTGATGGAGCAGAAAAGCAACCTGAAATTTTCCATACCTTGAAGGAGTCATTTCTTAAGGCTTTTAGGGTTATGGATAGGGAACTCAGAATGCACCAAGGTATAGATAGCTTCTGTAGTGGGACAACAGCAGTGACTATGGTTAAACAGGTGCTGTTTCATGTTAAAAATGAAATGTTTTGGATTTGATTTGAGATAAGATATGTTTGTTCTTTGCTCATAAGTTACCGTTTTTCAGGGTCAGGATCTTGTCATTGGAAACGTTGGGGACTCCCGAGCTGTTCTGGGTACGAGAGATAAAGATGACTCTCTTGTTGCAATTCAATTGACTGTGGATCTGAAGCCAAATCTTCCAGGTTTTTGCCTTTCTGCTGAACTCCCCTCTGTAGAATATCATTTTGTTATAAGAGCAATTCAATTGAAATTTGATGTTTTAAAAAATGTGTTATTTTGGACCATAAGGAAATTTTGTGCAATTAATTATATTTCTTGATCATAAGATTCATAACTAGCTTTCTTGGTAGGAATCATTGAAGTACTGTACTTCGGACTGTGTGCTTATGAGCCAAATGCATAGTTACTTTGTAATTATTTGACTGTAGTCTGCTCCTCTCTCCCTATACTTCCTTCCCAACTTACTGGTTTACTGAAATTTTTTTTACGATGGTTCTTTCCCACTAACAGCTGAAGCAGAGAGAATCCGTAAGTGTAGAGGTCGTGTCTTTGCTCTCCACGACGAACCTGATGTTCCTCGAGTTTGGCTTCCAAACAGCAACTCTCCTGGACTTGCCATGGCACGAGCATTTGGAGATTTCTGCCTCAAAGACTTTGGTTTAATCTCTGTACCTGAAATATCATATCGACGGCTCACTGAAAAAGACGAATTCATTGTTCTGGCTACAGATGGAGTATGAGAGCAATTTATTCTGCAATTTTCTTTTAAAAAGGGATCCTCCTCCTTCTGTTCTTCTCAGAGTTTGGTTTGTGTTTCTTTTTGCAGATATGGGATGTGCTATCAAACAAAGAGGTTGTAAATGTCGTTGCATCGGCTCCAAAACGCACTACTGCAGCTCGAACTTTAGTTGAGACAGCCGTGAAAGCATGGAAACATAAATACCCAACTTCCAAGATTGATGACTGTGCGGTCGTTTGCCTCTTTCTTGACTCGAACTCCGGAAATCTATCATCTGCTTCCAATACCAAACCAGAGGTGCAACAAAGTTTAATAGATCACATCAGCAGTGCAGTTGAGAGTGAAGATTTCTCTAGCCCAAATGGTCTGAATCATTCGGGAACCGTCCAAATCTGCAAGGAAACTCCGGAGGATGGAAGCGAAGAAGAAGATGAATCGAAGGAGGAAGAACATTCAGAAATGGGAATAGAATGGTCTGCCCTGGAAGGCGTCTCACGCGTAAATACTCTGGTAAACCTGCCGAGATTCGATCCTGGAAAAGAAGATAAGAAAGGCCGGAAGTAAATGGGGAAGTTCAGAAAGATATCCATCAGTGCCTTGTTTTGGTAAAAGTTTATTATGTTTACTTTTTGTTGCTTCTGTTATTCTTTCTGTAGGAGAAGAAAAGAAATCACATAAGAATTGAACTCGAGAGAGGTCGGCCCGACCTTATTAGTGCGTCTGGGGAATAGTCGACGACTCTGTCATATCAGTAAAATTCGAGTTTTGTAGGATCAACTTGCCATCCTTTATTGTTCTAATAATTTTTCTTGTACGAATTGTTTGTTATTTGTAATGTTGTTAATAAATTTTGTGATTGTAAAGCCTAAAATTCAACTTGCTTTGCAAATCTTCAATTACATTGTTTGAACTTTGTTCCACTTAGTGGTTAAAAGTGCTGATTTTCTTTCAGTTGGTTTGCCTTTTTGGACCTTAAAGTAGGGGCTGGACATTCATCCTTCTTCTGTCTGAATTGTTTAGCTCCCTTTTTGGAGCAATCCCCCCACCAACACATTGATTCTTTAGGATGGGTTACCTATAATTAAGAGTTTAGTTATTACTATTGAACTATTGGGCGACATATATAGATATATATATTGTTTATAAGTGAGTTTTTTTCAAGTGATACCTATGCTTGCATGACTAATGGCGAGGGCATACCAATGCTGCAGAGCTCTAAGGTTCTATAAGACATAGAATTCTAGTTTGTTTTTTCAAGGGGTACCTGAGCTTACACGACTAATGACGAGAGCATTAGAGTCGAGGAGCTAGAGGCTATGAGACTTTAGATGGTATATTTTAAGTACATGAAAAACCATAAACCTATATTTTGAAGCCTCAAACACAAATTTATTAGAATAAATATTTGTGGTCATGAGTTGTCATATGTGCACCTAACTGTGAGAAAGAAGTGCAATTTGCGACCTTATGTAAATATGTGGCTAAGAAAAGAAATTAGTGAGACTAATTATGAGCTCCACTCAAACAGAAACGGATAAGGCTTGCAATATTTAGTATGTGATTTAATGGTGTCATTATCCAATTTTTCATATATATATATATATTCTATTATAATGGTTTTTTATATATTCTTCGACTAATTTCGTATTTATTTGATAAAATCTCATAAATAGTTTCTCCTCGATCAACAATTCAACTCAAACTGTATCATCGAATCTACTACTTCATAATAAGATAGTACCTTGGAGTAGCCACCCACATATTACGTGCTTACCACTTATTTTATTTATTATTCTTAGTATTTTAGTTATTTTCAAAATAGGATTTGTACTTATTTTCATATCATAGTTCAAACGTTAAAGATGAGGTTTACTAATTCTTTTCGAAATCCAAAAATAAAAAGTTCCTACCGAACCAAACCCCTGGATCATCTGTCAATGCATACAAACCATCGAATTTATAATTTAATCTTTTTCGAATGAACACATAGATACACATTACAATAAAGTTTTTATATGAATTAAGTTGAGGCCTATGAATTCAAAGGATAAGTTGTTTACACAAAGCCCAAAGAATAATTCAGTATTGGGAAATGGATCTTAAAGAACCAATTCAATGATGAAAAAGAATGAGTGGTGTTGTTCATACTATTTCTGTTGAAGTGACAATGTATGTTTGTTTAGTTTTAGTTTGTAAAAGAATGAAGCATGGTAAGCATTAGTATGAACAAAACCACTGATGTTCTTCCAGTTCTTAGAGAAGAAGCTGAAGAAAGATCGTGAGGCCCAACTGTATAAATGCCTCCGCTCTTCTCATCCATCACCTTAATGCTTGAAGAGCCTGCAATTCCCCATTCAAACATATTAACATTTGAACAGAACCATCCAACACTGTTATTATACCTATGGACCGACATGATTTAACACAACCTTGTACAACAGAGAAGCCAGCCAAATACAGTAAGACCAAAACCAATTTAAAAGCGACCCACCACCGACCCGTCAAACTCGTTTTTGTCCTACCTGCCCTTACTATCTATAATTGGCCTACCCTTTATGTCACATTGTACCAAATCATTACTTGTTGGTCCATCAGATGTAAACAATAAGAGCTTGCTAACATATGACGCCAATGGAATTTCTTTTTCAAGTTTAAACAAATAGTTTTCACAAAAGTTTTCTGGCCTATTAGTCTGAGCAGAAGTAGAACAAGTCTAATCATTACTCAACCAGTAAAGCTATTCAATCAGAAAGCTGGGCATAGGCATCACAGGCATGTAAATTTGTACTGCAGGATCGTATGAAACATAGAAAATAAGAGTCAAGTGTTGTAACGGCCCAAGCCCACCGCTAGCAAATATTGTGTCCTCTTTGGGCTTTTCCTTAAGGTTTTTAAAAAGCGTATATTCGGACTTGGGCTGTTACACGTGTACTCGAAATTTATCTAATGCTAAATACTAGTCGAGTGTACTCACAGTTGTACTCTGTCCAACCGATGGTCTGATTTTCTAAGTCGTATAGCACGAGTCTATTTTGAAGCACCAAATCTGAAATCAGAAACAAATGAAAAAGAAAACTGGTTAACAATAATGTGTATCCCAAGAAGGAACACCCAACTAAGGCAAATTGCAGCAGCAGAATTTCATAATTTGAAGTGATGAAATAATAAACGAGTTCATTGTCTTTTCACTGACCTCCCAACAGAATCATACCCTTTCCATCCCTAGATTGGGCACCACTGTTTTGCCAACCGACACACCAATTATCACTCTGCAAAATTTATCAAATCACGGCTTAGACATTTTCATATGTTCTTTAAGTAATTATCAAATTAAATTGTTTTTTTTTTTTTTTTTTTTGCTAATATTCCTATCATTCACATTATTAGCCCAAATTTTTATTATTGGGGTCAGCATCAATAAAGCATGAGAAAAGGAAGTCTGGTCATACTTCAAAGTTCAATTCACTCACATCAATATCAAACAGATACTCACGAGGACGAACTCTCAAAGATAGTGAACCTTCAAAGTGAAATGTAACATCAGGAAATCCATCATCAATGCTGCATGAAGAACATAAAAGCCAAATGAGAAACTTTTTAAAAAATGTTCAGATAATGAACGTTTTAAGCGTAGCGATATTAATAAGATGTTCTAGTCTCAATACGTTGAAGGATGTTTTGATTAGGTAAAGGAAACTATGCAATATGCTAAACTCTTATGATGCTTATTATATTTAAGATATGCAGAGTTTGGGGCCTCACTTTTTGCGTTATGCTCATGACCACATGTGAAATCTCACATCGGTTGGGGAGGAAAACGAAACATTCTTTGTAAAGGTGTGGAGGTAGACACAAGGCGGTGTGCCAGCTTTGAGGAGTGGATTGTGAAATCTCACATCATTATTCATAAGGGTGTGGAAACCTCTCCCTAGCAAACACGTTTTGAAAACCTTGAGGGAAAGCCCGGAAGGGAAACTTCAAAGAGGACAATATCTGCTAGTGGTGGCTTGGGCTGTTACACCAACTAGAGAGGGTCCTCCTATCCCAAGACCAACTCTAGAGATGACAGAGTTTCAAGTTATTAAGCTCGGACTTGAACCAAGGATCCTAGAGGGTATCTCTAACATGACTTTTAACAAGAATCAATTTTAACTATTTTTAATATGATGAACAGTTTGCGCCGCAATTCGAGATATCCCTTTTCCCCCAGCCACTTAGTACTACTATTTTTTGACATGGATATCATTTACTCGGGAAGAACACTGACAAATCTTTGCTCATGAATCTAGAAAAAACTGACCAAATAAAAAGACATAAATAAGAACCTCAACCAGCAACACATTTAACGATAATGTGAATGAAATAAGACCGACCCCGAAATGAACATCAAAGGTCGAACAATAAGATAGCTATTTTATACGTTTAACAAAGATGAATAGAAGTTAGCCAGGAAGGTATCATGTCATCTTACTTTCCGTTGTATTGAAAGCAAGTAAACTGTTTTTCAACAGAATACAACTTCAGTCCAGTCTGCCTTGCAAAAATCTAACATAGTAGAGACAGTTTCAGTTTCTAAAAATACAAACTTTAAATATTGTTTTTGACGGGAAACGATTAACAAAAACGTAAAATAAAAAAAATTACTTAGTGTACCTTTGCTATTAATGGTTCATAAATCTCGTCTGGAAGATAAGCTAACGTAGTGCCACTGTCAATAATTGTTCCTCTGCTTAAATCAGTGTCAAAAACATCTGTGGGGAGATTCAGCATGTCACCGCCAACCTCAATTGCCTTCATAGCCACATTGTAATGTGCCCTAAAGTTGATGATGAAATAACTAAGTCCAAGGCTACTAATTAAGAAAAGAAAGCGAAATATTTAAAAAGAAGAAGATATATAAATGCATGTAAAATACTAATGTGTTTGAGAAGGGTAAAATAAGCAACAAAGTGCCCGAATGGGGCTGATTGCTTGCTATTCTCCTTACCTACGAGCATCCAAAATTCTAACCCATGTTTGATAACAAAAAAAACACTATTGAGGATACCGATAGCGTATCGTAATTGGATTATTTTCAAACGCTTTCACCCTGCCTTCGAGGGACCCAAAAAAAAAAAAGAATCTAACAAGGGACCAAACATCGCTAAATGAACTCTTACGTCCTCCGAAAATTATGTTGTCTCTCTCTACCCAAAGACCCCACAAAATAGCACACACAGAAGTTTGCGACAAAAACCTCCCTTTATCACCAAAGGGCAGATGAAAGGAAAGCTCCTCAAACGCCTCCTTGCAACTCTAGGAGCTAACAAAAGCTGAGCACCGTAAAAAAATTGCACTAGACTTCGAGCAAAGTCACGACTCTACATGATATGATCCGGTTCATTTTTTGTTGAGATGGATTTTTAAAGATATCATACTATTTTCTGTTCAACCCAACACCTTTTTCCAACTCCTCTTTCTTACAACTTCATCCATTGTTCAACTCTTTGCAAAGGATATTATTTTTCTCCATGAAATTCTCCTTGAAAGGGATAAGGCGTTCATGAATTCCCTTCGGCAGAGAACAATAATGGAACAATGTTCAATTTATCTTCCACAAACAGATGGTTAATTCCTTTTTCCCTCATGAATTTTTTCACATAGATACGAAAAAGTTCAAAACAAAATGCAGGGAAGTATAACATACTGTTGCTGCACTAATGGAGTGGTGTGGACTTTTGGCTGCACCACCTCCCCAATGGCAAAAATTCCACCTCCTTTAATGTTATCCAAGCAATGAGCAAAAATCCTTCTAACTTTTCCTAATGAAGCCAGCTGCGAAATCATGGATGAATTTGATTGTCCGAAACCAAGTATCCCATCGACCGCAGCAGATGTTGCACCTAGTTGGCCAGAT